CTCTTTTTTTTTTTTTTTGAAAAGCAGAGCGGCTCTGGCTCCATTCCATTCTGGGGAGCTTCAGTCCAGTCCCTGTTCGACCGGCAAGTCAGGAAAATTACATCTTTGCACACACCCACGCTCCTCCCCATTATGGCTGAGAGGCCCGAGTGGACGGCATTGATTACTTCCTTTAGGAAGGATGTACCACCCCTTGCCCCTGCCTAAGCTAGCCTTTTGTACATGTCTAGTGCCTCGAGACCGCTGTAAACCTTAACTCCTGCTTTGTCCAAACTGTCCAATGGCGTCCGGTTCTCCCGCAGTGCTGCTCTGCCGACCAGGCCTCCAACAGCAAGATGATGGGCTGACTTGCCCCCTGTCCCAGCCACCATTTGCACCTGAGCATGTTACCTTCGATCTTCCCTGCCCCATTGCCCATAAATCTCACTTGAACTTGGCCAGCAATTCCTGTCACTTTTTGGGTTCCCGCTTGATTTGGCGGCGCACTTTAGACCAGTCTGTATGATATTCCCATTGAAGGCGTCCTTCCTTTTTTTTCCCAAAACAGAAACTTACAGTTCTGGTTCCTTTTCCATTCTGGGGAGCATCAGTACGGTGCCTATTCCACCGGCAAGTCATGATGACACATTACAACACACTCAAGACGCTTCCCCCATTATGGTAGGGAGACCTGTGTGGGCAGCATTGATTACTTCCATTCGGGAAGGATGTGCCTTCCCTCACCCCGGCCTAAGTTAGCCTGTTACTACTGTGTGTAGTTGCTCCCTGACTCGTATCCCTATTCGTCTCCCCTCGGGGTGATACTGTCCTACTGTTTGCGCTCGTCGACGTTGTGCACCTCTCAGCTGCTTGCCGTCTAATATGTTTGTAGGCCTGGTGCTGTGTGACCCTAGTTGCTTGCTCTGATTTTCCTCAGATTTCTCTAAATCATATGCCTCTGGTGCTTCTGAGTTCTGTGGGATGTGGTCTCCCAACTTTTTCTCTCTCTAGCAAGTAACCTACGGAGGAACATTCTAAAGAGCTGGTTGTGGAGACCACATCCCACAGAACTCAGAAGCATCGTCTGCTCATGGTTGGTTCTGCAAAAACCCTAAACCCTGCACCCTGGGTACACCCTGGCATAAACCCTCAATCCCTGTCTGTGAGCCTGAGTTACTGGATGGTTAGTTGTCTCTCTCTAGAGAGATTGGGGGGGCGACTGTGAGGGATATTGGGGTTGGAGGGTCATTAGGGATAGATCTGATGCTCGAGGGGTGTAGAGGTGACTTAGGGGATTGGGTGGAGCTGGTTAGTTGTTTCGAATGGGTTTTGGGCAATTTGTTACGTGATTTGTGTTTGTGGACTGGTTGACTGGGTCAACCAGTCAACAAAAACAATTCAAGAGCTTGCGGTCCTGGCTATGTTCTATTCCGGGAAGCATCAGTCCGGATCCTTTTCCACCGGCAAGTTATAAAAATGCAGAGGACCCACCCTGACGCTCCCTTCATTATGGCCAAGTGAACCACTGACGGACCTGATTTCTCTCTTCTGGAAAGGATTGACTGTCACATACACCCATTACCACAGTAATGCTTCTTAAAAACAGGTGAGGACAGCAACAGTTCTAGCTCCTCTCAGCCTATTTGGAAGTGGCTCCGCAAATGGTTTTGGTTAGCAACAGTTGCAGGGGTTTGTTTTCGTCTTCTCTTTCTCCTTTGTTCTCAGACTGTCGCTTGGAATCTACATCCCTGTGTCTTGTTTCTTCCACTCACCTCTCCAACCAAGAGTTAACGATCTGGTCTTCCCATCCCTCTCCATCCTTTGTATTGGGCCCTGGGTCTGTCCGTCACTCCAAAGACCAGGCTTTTTTATCCCTGATCTTAGCCATCGTGCCCTCCGTCAGCCTTCTTCATCGACATCATTTTGCATTCTGAACTTAACGTGTTGCTCCGCTTCCTTTTTCATTTTGGCCAGGTTCTCTCTCCACTCAGGTCTGACCTTTGTTTCTGTGATGTCTTTCGCTTCACACCATGTTTTCATCAGGGATACCCTTGTTTCCTTCATAGTAGTCGCACATGTATGCAACGATTCTGTTATGGTTGGAATGATCTTCCATCGCTATTCCTTCTTTCCGCCTTTTGATCAAATTTGATGAGCTCATGGTGGTACCTTGGCCAGCCATTCTCCAGACTTAAATGAACCGCACCATGTCATCCTTGCTGGAGAGAGAGAGAGAGAGAGAGAGATAGTAAAAGTCGCACGTGTGAGGAATGGTTCTGTGATTGTTGGAACAGCCTTTAATCCTTTTACTTTCTTTTTGCCTTTTGATGAGCTCATGGTGATGATACCTTGGTCAGCCATCGCCAAGACTTGGACATGAACTGGACTATGCAATCTTCGTTGTCTAGAGGCTTTTTTTACATGAGCAAGGGGCTTTTCCTCCTAAGCGGCAGCAATTGGGGCCACGTGAAAAGGCACATTCGATTAGACGCTCTTCCTTCAACTCTGTCTTGGACATGAACTGCAATGTTCTCTGTCTAGAGGCTTTGTTTTTACATGTGCACGGGGCTTTTCTCCCACGCGGGAGCAATTGGGGCCACGTGAAGAGGCACATTTGATACGCGCTCTTCCTTGGACTCTGAGCTCTGCAACGGACAAAGAGATGCCATAGTCGTGCAATGAGCCTCTGGCTTTATTCACACACCTTTCCTTCCATGGAAATCATTGTCCTGTAGGCGACCAGCTACCATCTTCCCCTGAATAGAACATGCATTCACTATGCCTCTATCTGGGGCAACTTTCAGTATAGATATATAATGATAATTACTGTACATCCTATTACGGAGGAGACAGTAGTCATTGCATAGACGTGCAATGAGATCCTCACTTCATTGATTCACCTGTTGATCTGCTGCAATCACACTCCCATCAGCGACAGGCTAGTCATCTTGAGCGGCCAGTGTCAATGAGCTTTTCTATTGGCAGCTTGTACACTTTCTTTCTGTTTTCTTTTCTTTTGCGACAACTATTAGAGCTTGTCAAGTTTAACCATCTGGCCTGGCTCAGTTGGTACACCACTGAACTGTTGAAATACAGACCTGAGTTCGAACTGCACTGAAAGCAGATGAGTGAAATACTTAATAGGAGTTCACAAGGCAATACTCGAGGTGTCGAGACAATGCATCAATAACTCGATTGAACAACCCTTCTTGTGTTTTAAATCATAGTTAAAAATGTCAATCTCATGGAACCAGCAAGTCAACATAGGAGACAAGGTGGTTTGCTCCTTTATAATTTCAAGGTCTCATGATCTGAGAAAACATTAAAGTGACGTCGCAAAAGATAGTGTTTCCAATGGTTCAATGCCTCGCGCAAAGCATAGAGCTCGTACATGTAGGTGGAAGTAGCTACCTTTTCCGTGGGCATGCGTTTGCTGTAGTACTCGAGCGGCCGCAAGCCATCACCGTCATCTTGTTGCAGCACTGCGCCGATCCCATACTGGCTCGCATCCGTAGTGACTACAAATACGAGTTTATAATATGCAATACGAAGCAGAGGATAACTTACCAAGGCCTCTTTCAAGGCTTAAAAAGCGGTTTCACATGTTGCATCCCACGTGTAAGATACATCCTTACTTGTTAGTTTAGACAGCGGGCGAGCAATGATATAAAACCGGGGCACAAATTTTCGATAGTATGATGCAAGCCCAAGGAAAGAACGCAACTCACGAACATTCGCGGGTTGAGGCCACTTGCGTATGACCTCAACCTTGGTTGCCTCAGGCACAAGGCCTGCAGCAGACAACCGGTGCCCAAGATAGACGACATTGTCCCTTCCACACTCAGATTTCTGTTTTTTAGGATGGTGAACACTTCCTCAAGGAGCTTCATGTGCTCCTCCATCGACTTGCTAAAAATCAGAAAGTCATTAAGATACACAACCACAAATCGACCAATCTTTTCGCGGACGACCTTGTCCATAAGACTTCGGAAGGTGGCCGGTGCGTTTGTGAGACCGAACGACATTACGATGAATTTGTAAAGCCCATCGCGAGTTTTGAACGTTATCTTGTGCTGGTCTGCATGTTTGACTTCAATCTGATAGTACCCAAACTTGAGGTCGACCTTGAAGAAGACCTTGCACCCACCTGCATGTGTGGCAATGGGTACGCATTTTTCCTTGTGATGCGGTTTAGATTGCGGTAATCAATACACATACGGAGCTTGCCTCCTTTCTTTGGGACAAGCAGAATGGGTGCCCCAAATTCAAATCCACGAGGCTTTATCCATCCTTTGTCAATCATCTCGTCGATCTGCTTCTGTTCCTCCAACTCGTCGGATCCCATATGGTATACACAGGCCTTTGGAGGAACAACACCTTCGACCAACTCAATCATGCATTTGACAGATCGCGTGAGGACTCCACGTGGTTCGGCCAGAACTTCCCGAAATCGGTGAGGTAGGCTTTGGATGTTTGCTGGGACCAATGGGGGTGGGGGATCAGAAGAATGATCACCTAGATCAGGTTGCAGATTATTAGTGGAGGCAACCGAATCCTAAGTAGAGTCATTTGGACTAGGGGTAGGTGAAGAAGTAGAAGTGCTAGAAGTAGATACATTATGTAAACTAGAACTAGTACTAACTGCAAAAGTACTAGGCACATGAGTAGGGTGAATGAAGGCAACATACAATCGTTCATCCTCCTTGTGCTTGCGCCACTCCTTGCAGAACTGCATGGCACTGAGGGAAGTGATTGGGGATTCGTGCTTC